CCATTGTGCATTTAACTCGAATCATTGTGTCTTTAACTTGAATTTTGCTACAAGAGGCGCTGTTTTTAATTATGGGTCGTTTGTAATCCAGGCTTTCTTAGCCCAGGGATTACCTGAAAGAAGCTACACTCTTATATTTCCATCAGTAATGTAAATTGATTGGCCCCTTCAATTAATACATTATGGAAAAAAATATTTGTCTTCTTCTGTTGTGTATATGTATGTATGTATGAATATATGTATACACACATGCACAATATTTTATTAGGAAGAGTAATCCCAACTATATTCAAAATGCAGATGATCATCATGAATAGAAACAATTGTTTTAACTAGTTAATTCTGTGATTTTGGCTGCAACATTTAACTGTGATTTAATATTTATATTTTCATTCCTCCTGATCTCTCAAGGATCTTATTTTATCTTCACAAAAAGCATGTAAAATAGGATAAAAGAAACTGGCCAAAGAGCAGAAATCTGAATCCTGTTTTTCTAGTATCCATAGGCTACTGAATATCCATAGGCTACTGGATAGCCTATCCATTAAATTAATCTGGCTCTTCTGTTCATCTTTAAAATTATTCCTTTCCAATAAGGCTTCAATTTTCTATCTCTAATTAAAATGTTAAAATTTTAATCAAATCTGGATCTAACAGTCATCCATCAAGGGCAAGGTTCCATCTTCATCTGCATTTGGAGGGAAGAGCTATGGCTATATATTTGGTAATATACATATATGACTACATTTTAAAATCTATTTGTGGACTTTTGGCAGATGAATGTTGGTCACAATGGATAGAAAGAATAACTCATGTAGTAAAGGTAAGGCATTTTTCAAAGTCCTCTCCCTATTATTTGATGACAGGAAGCTTAGACTGCAGTAGGTAATCTAAATTTTTCAATATGACAGCTACTTTGCCTAAAAATCCTATGTAACTTTACATAGTGAATTTAATAAAGATGGCTATGAAGCAGATATTAGAAGATAGGCATTCTTCATTTTGTGGTGCGCCAAGATCTATATTATGCCATTTTGACTGGATTGAGAATACAGCACTTTCAGCCATGTGTTTACTGATTTATGAAATGTCCTCCTTGTTTTTCAAATATTAAAGGTCATTGCTGCCTTTAAAGATCATGGTGTATGTTAAAATAAAATGCCAAGTGGAGTACAAATTATTAAAAAGATGTATCTAACAATTAGAGTATCTGTATAAATCTAAGGATGCAATTGATCATCAGAATTTCCCTGATGAATCAATTAATGCATTTCCATACTGCAAAACCTTAAAAAAAGTCTCTTGAGGGATCCAAAGGAAGTGTCTTTGATGTTTTATCATATAATAAATAAAATGTTTATTTCTGATATGATAATACACGGAAAACTTATTTTAATATCAAATCAAAGTTGAGAATATGAAAAATTTCTTTCTCTAGAGGTGCACAACATTATCTAAAAATATAATAAATTTAAACTCCCATAATAGTTTAGAAGATGTCCATTTTTTTTTTTAAAAAAAAGATATTTACAGCTAACTAAGTATAGCCAACTTCAGTTGCCAATAATTCTTATGGTTAAAAGAGAAAGTCGTTTTACCACGTTGAAAGATAAGCAATAAATGTTGCATGTGAACTGAAAAGAAAAGCTATCTTTAGCTTTTCTTCTCATCAAATTTGGCACCAGGATGAGAGAACATGTCTATGCAGCATATAGGTTAGAGATTTCTCCAGAGTTCTCCACTTCAGTATTTTCTTAGCTGTATTGATTTACTGTGGAATACAAAAGATTTTAACCAGCAGCTATATATTTTATTATTCTGTTCAATGTTTTAAAATCCCACATAATTTAGGATGTCATCCTTCACAGTAGTGGTCAATTTAGTTCCACTAATTTCACATTTGCAATTTGAGACTGTTTCTGATGAAGCATGATTCATGAGAACTATCCTGTTAACAAATCTTCTAAGTAGCCCTAAGCAATAAAAATTGTATTTATACATCAGGGGCACAAAACTTTAATAGGCTTGAAAGATGTCTTAGTTTTTGTGTGAAATGGGCAGAGTCTGGCCCTTTTTGAGGGAGGAGTACAGAAATTTTAGAGTGATACAAGTGCCTTAATCATTTGCAAGGTATTAACATACTCATTTTGCTTCTTAACCCCACCCCTGAAACCCACGGGTTTGTTGTTGTGTGGTACATTTGGAAATTCTCTGAGATTGTCGAGATAAGGCAGGATATAAACCTAATACATAAATAAAATATTTGAAACACATGGATGCAGAAAAAAATATATACCGTTTTGGATAAAGATCACACACATCTATGAACACGCATTTTTGTCTGTTAACCTTTTTCCTGCAAGCCTGTTCCTAGACACATCTTCCAATCCAAGACAGGTACATTTTAAAATGTATTTTGCTACAATGTTTTCTGTGCTTAAAGCAATATTTGCCTCTCAATATAATGTTTCAACTGTCTTAGCATGCCAAGGGTCTGTCTAAGCTAAATGGTGCAATTTCTTGTGTTAACAAATTTATACATACAAATACTGATTTTAGATTTAGTAGAAAAGGATTATTATACAATGGTTGAGAAGCTAAGAGTGGACTTATAGATTCAATATATGAAAGTCACTTTCACTAGCACCCATTTACTGTCCTCTTCAGGCTACTGTGTTGCAGTCAGAAAAGAACAGAAGCCACAAACAGCTAAAATTCCTTTTTGTCTAGACCAGTGTTTCTCAACCTTGGCAACTTTAAGATGCGTGGACTTCAACTCCCAGAATCCCCCAGCCAGCATGGCTGGCTGGGGAATTC